GTTTTTAGAGAAAAATGGAAACAAAAAGGAATTAAAACAACTTAACATCAGGTTTGTAACAGTTGAACAATTCAAAACAGAAGGATTGTAGGAGTAATGGAATGAAGGAATCTGGAGCAAAAAACGAGTTTTTAGAGAAAATGGAAACAAAAAGGAAAACATTTAACATCAGGAAGAGACAGTTGAAATTTCTAAGAAGGAATTAAAAGGAACCATGGACTTTATTTGAGCAACGACGAGGTTTTAGAGAAAATGGAAAAAAAAAAGGAAACTTATATTTAAAATCAGGAAGATCAGTTGAAATTTCTACAGAAGGATGATGAGGATAGTGGTTTGAACATATGAGCAAATGACGAGGATTTAGAGAAAAAAAAAAAAAAAAAGGAAACTTATATTTAACATCAGGAAGAGTCAGTTGAAATTTGACAGAAGGATCTGAGGAAAACATGCACCGAACATTTGAGCATTCGACGATAAGAAAATGGAAACATGTGGTCACTTTTTACTTAACATCAGGAAGAGACAGTTGAAATTTTTACAAAAGGATAATTGACAATACCATGGACCGAAAATTTGAATTGTTGTGTGACTGTTTTTAGAGAAAATGGAAAAAAAAAGGAAACTTATACTTAACATCAGGTCTCAGTTGAATTTCTACAGAAAAGATTTGGACTTTGGTATTTTGAAAAAAGACAACATTCGAAATAACAAGAAAAAATAAAAGAAAAAGGAATTTTATCCATTGAATCAAAAAAGACAGTAAAAATCCAACATATTTTTCTAAGGACTTTTATGGACTGTTGAGCAAAATGAGTGATTTTTTAGAGAAATGAAAAAAAAAGGAAATTAAATATTTGTAAATTTATATAAACAAAAGGAATATGAATATCGAAAGACCGTGCCATTATTGATAAATCTGGAAATTTAAAAAGGGCCGTTATTTTTATTCAGATAGCTTTTTATCATCCGATCACTAGATATTTTTTTAGTCGAAATTTGTATACACAAATAAAATCACTTGAGGTAAGGTTCTCTTTAGTTTTTAATTAAAAACTATTTTATGGACACATCTAACAACGAATGAAATAAAACACAATTCTAGTTGATAATAGTTTTTTTTATAAATTTATCAAAAAAATATTGATAACCAAAATTTTCGGAATTTTAAAATCCTGAAGTAATAAATTCATGGAAAATTTTTTGTTTACTTGAATTTAACAATATTTTGAATGAATTATGAATTTTCTTTTCAATTCTAGAATATTTGGAAAGGTTTATCTTCATTTTCACTTCTTGGAATATTTAGCAGTAAAAAATAATGCTGATTTTTTTTTTTGTTTTTAAAATGATCATTACAAGGAGACTCAATAAAAAAAAATTTGTTTTAAAGATTTCTTTTTTAAAGAACACTAACCATCAATTAAAGTTACACCACTACTAACCATGGGTATATCATACCCGATTTTGAAAATATCAAAAAAATATTAAATATAAATCTTTATTTGAAATATTTTACAACCAGGCACTTCAAACTTTGTACTTTGAGTTAACATTAATAGGAACTGAGAAACATATTTAGATAAGAAAATCAGGGACTGAAAATTGTAATTAAAAATAGGAAAATTTGCTCTGGGTACTATATACCCATGGTTAGTGTTTTAGGGTTAAGAGTCTAATGTACAGAAAGCATCCACGCGGGAATCCGTTCCATAAACCAGCAGTTTTTTGGGTTTTTTTTTTTTTTTTTATATTTTTTTTTTTTTTTTTGGTAGGGGAGCTTTAAAATTAAATTCTTTCTTTCATAAACCCAAGATTATAATAATAATCTTGGGCGATTCATTGGAGAGAGATAGCGCGTTGATTTTGTGTTGACCAATTGTGTCGGACAATATCCGTAAATTAAAGAAAGAATTCATAATTCAAATTCTCGTGGAAGTGAAGAATGGCCATTACCACGCAGGCTTGTCTTTAGTCTTTATCCCGCGTTCTTTCTACGCATAAACCAAATAGAAATGCATTAGAATGTAAGGACACGTTTTGGCGCGACATGAGATCAACTGAAAGGCGGGCTGTGTGAAAGGAAGTGGACAGGATAAGTGAAAATCGAAGTGAATGTGGCGAGAGGCAAACAACCGATAACCAAACGTCTCTCTACTGCATATCTATCATAGTCCGTCCGCCTTTCGTGTATTTTTGCTTACGAGACAAACTATTTTTCAACAAAATTTTCATTGGAATTCAACTTTTTCCTTTTTTTCGATTTTAAAATTTTTCTTTTCATTTTTTTACGCCTTATCAACCCTTTGTAGGTTATTTAAATCCAGAAAATGTTTTTAGATTTTTTCTTTTTTTTTTGATAATAACTGTTTAGTGATACAAGTTTTACTAATTACACTATTTTAAGATATTTTTTATGTTTAAACGTTCTTTTTATAGATACAAATATTTAAGTAAATGCTCTGTTTATAATAAACAGTATTAACAACATTTACCGGCCTGAATGTCCGAGAATTTTTTTATGTTTATACGTTCATTTTATAGATACAAATATTTAAAAATACTTTTTTATAATAAACAGTATTAACAACATTTACCGGCCTGAATGTCTTTGAGAATGTTCATAGAAAAAATATGCGTCTTATTAACCGAGATTTCCTTCTTTCTAAATCGGTAAAAGCATTTTTTTAGGCTATATAAAATGCATATTTTCTAATCAGATTGCATTTAGTTAAATATTTGCATCTATAAAAAAGAACGTATAAACATAAAAAATGTTTATTAAAATAATTGTCGGATTTTGTCCATTTATAATTACATTATTTAAAAAATTTTTGTCTCTTCTCTTTATTGCCACATTCTTTTCTTGTAATTCGACCGTTACCGCTCCGGCCTTAGAATGATACACATTGCCCAGTGGATAAATCCGTTGACTGAGTGACTTAAAAGTGGCTTCACCCAAATCATTGTGAGTTCAAGAAATTTTTAAAAAAGAGAAAAAAATTTGGAGAGTTACCAAGGGAGAATTGCCTAAAAACAGAGATATCCAAAGGCATGGCACATGAAATTAGGACGATCTACTCCCCACCCCTAACCCACCGTGGGCTAAATAAAGGGGGTCTGATCGAAATTGCAAAAAATATCATCTGAAGAAGAGCGTACAACGACTGAAACGTCGTGAATATAGCAATAAAGGTGAGGACGGCAGCCTGAACAATGTCAATAGTGTAAATAGATAAAATACCACATCTCAGAAATATAGACAGATGAGGTCTTACTAATCAACCCATAGCTGGTACAAGACGAGGTGGATTCGTATTTTTCCCAAGGCTGTTTGCGTGTAAGTGGAATTTGTACCCGGCTCTCCGATTCGAGTAGAACTTACATCTTACCAATGGAATACTGAGACAATAATGGTGGATTGCTACAAGGTAAGAGGTATGGCGTGTCCTTGTCATGAAAGTTAGGACTGGGGAACCAAAAACTGTAGTTCGTCCCAGAACTTTTCATAGGAGTAGAGATAGAGCAGTGAGAGGCTTGCCACACCCCGCCTGTGAGAGAGAGGTTGGATGGTGGATAATAATGCGTCACCTAAAAGAACTCGGAGACGCTTTCGGACTCTAAGCGCGATCGGTGCAACTCCCGCAGGAATATGACAACAGTAAGCCATTCTTGACCGGATCTGGATCTTGTAAAGGAAGAGGATAACACGTGGAGCCAGATGTTACGGTTTTTTGGGTATATAACATATAACTAATGAGCGAGTCAGAATGACTTAATTCCCTTTATAGTCTACCAATATGAGATTAACCAATCAGAAGCCGCAGAACACTGTATCCGTCGTGTATAAAGGCGGCCATCTTTGTTTACCCTACCGGAATGACCAGAGGCAACATGTCAGGCGAAGATACCAGAAGGAAGAACTATGCTCTGCTACGATATCCACTGCGAACCTGAACTACGCTTTCCTACTGTCTCCGAAATATTCACTGCCAACCTCTGGATTCTATACACGAGGACGACCGTCATGAAAATGTCTAACACCAGATACTTCGGTACAGGGAGCCGATCACTTCACCTCCCTTCTTTAGCGATGGCTCGTAGGTTACGAGTTCCACTTTGAAAAAAGGTTTTTCCTAATAGTCTTCGAGGACTTGTTTTTCCGAGGGTTCATTCGTTCATCGTGATTGGCCGTAGTTCGTACGATCGAGTTTCTTATATATTTTATTCCGAGCCATTTTCCATTGAATCATTCTCCGATCCAAGCTTACAGCCCCTGGTATTTCCAAGCGGTCACCCATCTAGGCACAGACCAAGCTCGGCGTTATTTCTTAACGATGTTTAAAATATCACTATTTTACAAAACCAGGAATGACAGAACATGAATAAAAACAAAATTTTAAAAAAGGCAAAAAGTAGGAAGTGTTGGAGAGCCATGATCTTTGTTTTGAAAAGAACAAGTTCCTTTTAAAACTACAGAAAGTAATTCTCTTGTCCTCTCTTAGCTGCCGTAACCGGATATTAAACTCACACTCTTTGGGTCCTGTCACTGGATCTAACCAACGCCGTTATCCACAGTGACATGTGTCCTTGAGGACATCTGGGTATGAATTTCTGGGTATTATAAACCTAATGTCTCAGCAACTATTTTTACCAATGCTCATATTGCAATTTTTGCAGTTATCATTGCATGTTTTACCAGAGCTCATAGAAAGAAATATAAAGAGGAGACAGGCCGCCCCCTTAAGAATCCAGAAAGCTGGAATCACGAGGGGAAGTAGAAAAACCAGGCGTGGCTGACCACATATGGAAAGAGAAGAGAGATCACCGCCCTCTGTGGGATCATGTTGAGATCATAGACAAGGAACACCATTGGAAAATTCGTAAACTTAAGGAGTCAGCACATATGCTAGGCCACAAAAATCTCCTGAGCCGACCAAGCATAGAAATGAATACAATATGGGAACCAGTAACAAGGAGTGCCAGAGAAAAGCGATAATAACATCAAGAAGAAAACTGAAGAAAATGAGATGGATATATGGAAAGATAAAATCGAACAAAAAAATACGGACTGAGATAGATAGATAGATAGATATAAACAGACTGAGATAGATAGATAGATAGATAAAATAAACTGAGATAGTAAGAAAGAAAGAGAAAATGAAGGATTGATAGATATGAAGAACATGAAATATTAGATAGAAACTGAGATAGAAAGAAAGAAAAACAAATTTAGATAGATAGATAGATAGATAGATAGATAGATAGATAGATAGATAGATAGATGAAGAAAATGAGATGGATACATGGAAAGATAGGGGCAGTGATATATATATATATATATATATATATATATATATAGATAGATAGATAGATAGATAGATAGATAGAAAGAAAGAAAGAAAGAAAAGAAAGACAAACACGAACACACTTACAAATATAGATTATCATCTGAATCCCTCATAGACAAACTAAAATTATTATGCCCTTCCATACATAAAGTAATAATTACGGTTTTTCAGTTAGTCTTGGAATAAGATGAATTCTTGAAACTTCGTCTCTTCTTAAATTCGGAACTCCACAACAAATCGAATGCATGTGAAACTTGATTAACCAATGAAAATAAAGCAAACCAAAAGTAAAAAATAATAGAGATTCTTTCTTCATTTTATCCATATTTCATTCTTTGAAGAAGCTTTAATAAAAGTGAAACATGTTGGATTGATAAAAGTTTTGATTTGTTCTTTATCTCATCACACTGTCGGATTTTGAACGATCTCCAATGAGCGGCTTTCGCTGGTTCCCAAACTTCATGAATTTAAGCGTTCTACTAGGCTGGCGTCTCGCTCACACACTTTCACTGTTAAATATAGCCGTCTCTTCTACTCCAATAGCTTCATGTCTCGCACTTCTCGCGTGCAGAACTCCCTCCCCTTTTCCTGTTTCACTGATAGCTATAATCTATAACAATTCAAGTGTAATGTCAATCGACGTCTCCAGTTGCCCTGATTCTATCCCCTATCCTTTCTTCATCCTTTCCTCTAAAACTCCTATTTAATTTAAATCCATTTCTCTGTCGTCCTTTGTGCTAGTGGCTTCCCGCCTTAACACTCGTAAACATTTTTTTAATTTTAAAAAAAAAGATACTTGAGCCGAACTTTGTTTAACTACCTCATCGACCATCAGATGTGACTATTTCTTTTTAAAGTAATTCATAGCGATTCTGAACATATTTAGATTGTTTTTGCAATAACATTAACATCTACAAAAAGCAAATATAAAACATGTGTTAACAGTTGAGGGGTGAGAATTTTTTTATACAAATGGACTCACCCAGTGTATACTTATACTACTGCCAGTTAAGACCCGAGAGATCAGACCGAGGTGTCGAGTCGAGTCCAGAGTGACAGTGTAAAAGGTTGTAGGTAACCGGAAGATGAGGGGTGAGGTAACAGCGTTGTAAGGAGTCACAGTGAGCGAGCACGTAGACTCAGTAAGAAAATCATACAATCGATACTTCAATACCAAAAAGACTATATATATTAAATTAAATTAAAGACATTAGTTTTTTTCATCCCTCACTGGAATTACAAAAATTAAATTCAGGCTTTTTAAAATTTCCATTTTTGAAACATGGTTAGAACTGTGTAGCGAAAAAAAACACATTTTAAATCAATTAATTTATAATATTAATGCTCTGTAAATTTACAGTGAGCACTATTTTGTAAAAATAAACATATCTATAAGAACACCGTATATATATCTTACTGTTGAAAATTTTATATATTTATATATATATATATATATATATATATATATATATATATATATATATATATATATATGTGTGTGTGTCTGTAGAGAGAGAGACAGACAGATAGACAGACAGAGAAAGATAGACAGACAGACAGAAAAGTTCTGTGTATACCGAATTAGTAGTTTTATGTTATCGGTAAATTGGATTAAGTTCATATCTCTATTTATTTTATATCCTATTAAATATGAACTCTTCTGCCTGATCTATACCTAGATGGATGATAGCAGGTGTTGTAAGCTTCGATGTGCTGGCGGTGTTATGGATCTTGGCTCGGAATTCTTAATCGGAGAGTTCCAATTTCAGTTGGCTTCGTCATATTCACCTACACTCAATTACTATTGGGAAATGGATGAATCCACCTCTTCTCCCCGCAGTTATGGGTTAATTATTAAGACTGGTATCACTAGAACTATTATTATCCTCCAAATAAATAAATAAATAGTTAGACTATATAGAAGATTAAATAATCTACAAAGATGATGATATGCCATTAAACAGAAGCAAAAATTTACCGATAGCATGAAACAACTAATTCGGAGAATTAAAAAAAAATTATTTAAAAAATTCGACAGGCAGACCTTGTTGATATTATTCGATCAACCTTGTTCGAAAAAATTGATGACGAAATGCAACTCATCCATGGAATGTGCTCCGACTTGAACAGGTTAAGATTGTAGTGATCGGGGAAACAGCCTCTTGGGTGACCTGGTTCCACCTGGTGTGACCAGAAAAGGGCCTATAACAATGACAATCACCCTCATTCCTTTCCTATTCCATCGACGAGAAGTAAGTTCCACTCACACAGATTCTTCCCATAGGAGGAGACTATTAAGAGGCTATTTTTCCTCGAACGTACCCCACCCCATATTACCCAGTTCTTTTTCTCTCCCATTCCTCTCTGTAAACCCCCTATGATATAACCGCCTCATAGATTTAAAAAGTTTTAAAAAAACAAAATGAATAAAATTGTCACGAAGTGTTTAAAAAAAAAAAATAGATAGATAGATAATGAGATGAGCAGAAAATTGATAGATAGACAGATAGATAGATAGATAGATATGATAGATAGATGAGAACAGAACTGAGATAGATAGACAGATAGATAGAAGATATATATAATAGATATAATATATAGATAGAAGATAGATAAATATATATATAGGGAATATTTTGAGAGAATGAACAGATAGATAGATAGATAGATAGATAGATAGGAGGGAATAGATTTAGGATTTAATAAATGAAAGATAGATAGATAGATAGATAGATAGATAGATAGATAGATAGATAGATAAAAACAGATAGATGAATAGATCCAGATTGGTTTGTTAGTTGGTTGGTTTTTATTATATCAACCTCGGTGGGTCATTTAATGCCAACAAAATTTTTTAAAAAGATTCATAGCGATAGTTTGCTAAAAAAATTTTTTTAATTTTACATATATTTAAAATCTTGGATGGTTTTATTTTCGTTTGGTATGGTTTGGTTTACGTCATATCAACCTCAATGGGTTACTTAATGCCGACAAAATTTTTATTGCTCGTAATAATTTGTTTTGTCAAAAATCTATTTCTGGTAATAATTTTCCTTCAAAAATGTATTGCTGGTAATAATTTTTGTCAAAAAGTATTGCTTGTAATATTTTTTCCTCAGTAATATATAGCGGGTATTTTTTTGTTTTTTAAATATATTGCTATTAATATTTACTTTTTAAAAACATTGTTGGTAATATTTTTTTCAAAAATGTATTGCTGGTAATAGTTTTTTTTTTTTCTTCTTCAAAAATCTATTGCTGACAATAATTTCTTACAAAGTATTTCTGGTATTAAAACCTACTTTTACACTTTCATAATGTTTTTATTCTAGTTTGGGGGGTTAACTATTTACTCATAGCTGGGACCCCGACGGGTGCTACCAGCCGGGGTTAAAGTGGACCTGGGAATACCAGCAATTAAAATGTGATTCAACGATCCTCAAAAGCTCCTGATCAAGGGCCTTTTAGTTGGACATAGTTTATCGTCTTATCCAGGACGCGGATGTAGTTTATCGTCATACCCAGGACGGAGATAGATAGATAGATAGAAAGTTAGATAGATAGATAGATAGATAGATAGATAGTAACAGAGTAGAAATCTGAATAGACGGAATAGATAGATAGATAGATAGATAGATAGATGAATATAGATAGATAGATAAATATTAACAGAGTAGAAATATGAATGGACATAGATAGATAGATAGATAGAAAGGATAGATGAGATAGATAGATAGATAGAAAGAATGGGAATACACATAGATAGATAGATAGATAGATGATAGATAGATAGATAGACAGATGTGTTAAATGGATGGATAGATAGATAGATGGAGATAGATAACAAATGATAGATAGATAATATGGATGAATAGACGGAGATAGATAGATCAGAGATCGATGGATCGATACATATAGATAGATAACCAATAGATAGATAGATAGATAGATGGATAGATAGATAGATAGATAGAATGAGATAGATAGATAGATAGATAGATACTGGAAGATAGACGGAGGATATTTAACAGAAGAAAGATCTCTGAATAAATGAGATAGATAGGATAACAGATCGATCGACTGATCGATAGATAGATAGATAGATAGATAGGAATACACAGAGATAGATAGATAGATAGATAGATAGATAGATAGATAGATAGATAGTAACAGAGTAGAACTCTGAATAGACGGAGATAGATAGATAGACAGATCGATCGATCGATCGATACATAGATAGATAGATAGATAGATAGATAGATAGTAACAGAGTAGAAATCTGAATGGACCGAGATAGATAGATAGATAGATAGATAGATAGATAGATAGATAGATAGATAGATAGATAGATAGATAGATAGGTTCTATTCATGCGAATGCGTACGTGTGTCTGTACTTGTGGGTGCATGTGTGCCAGATATTTATTTAATGTAATCTGGAGATGGGAGAAACGAACGTCGACTGTGTGTCGCTTTCTCTTCGTTGCACGTGTCTCCGTTGTAAATGTCACCAGAGGCAGGGCGGGAAGGAAGAGAAGAAGGATCCATTTGAAAAAAATATTTATAATAAACTTATCAAGGCCTAAGTGTGTACGAATGGACACCCTACTGCTGTTAGGATATCGATCTGAATTACGATTGATTGGCCAGAGACAGTTGGGCAAGCGGGAGGTGACCAGTGCCGCTTATGTGTCCAGTCGGACTCTGACATTCATTTCGATTTACACTGCATGAAACTGTCACACTGCTTTCAAGAGAAGACCGGTGTAGGTGATGCGGTGCGGGAGGGAGATAGCGCCGGAGCGATACGGTAAATGTGGGTATCGGACTGTCAGGTTATTTTGTGGGAATTCAAAAGGGGTGGAAAGATAAATAAGATGAGCCTTCAGGAAAACTGAACGGAAGTAGCGTTTTTGCGATGAGCTGCAGTTAAGACGAGAGGAAAAAGGTCCAAGGGTGATGATCAATCAAAAACCAACACTTCTGTATATATATATATATATATATATATATATATATATTTATATATATAGGTAATGTATTATACTCGTTCGAAAAACCTTCGAATTTTTGATTTGCCAATAATCAAATCAATCTCGAAGGAAAAAAAGGTTTATACATATATATATTTCTGAGATGATGTATTATGTACAATATTTATATTATTCGGACTATTGTCCCCATCTTTGTCGCCATATTTATTACAACGTTTCGGCCCTTCAGTATCTGTCTATATTTCTGAGATGAGGTATTATCTACACTATTTTACATTATTCGGACTATTGTCCTCAGTTAGATCGCCATATTCATTACAACGTTTCGGCCCTTCAGTATCTGTCTATATTTCGGAGATGAGGTATTATGTACACTATTTACATTATTCGGACTATTGACCTCATCTTTGTCGCCATATTTATTACAACGTTTCGGCCCTTCAGTATCTGTCTATATTTCTGAGGTGAGGTATTATGTACACTATTTATTATTCGGACAAATTGTCCTCATCTTTGTCCTTTATTTATTACAACGTTTTCGGCTGTTGTATTATGGCCTTCTTCAGGTGGTTGGAATGTCGAACTGAACTCTTTATAGGCCAGTGATGTGGCAGACATTTCTAGTTCCACGTGGCATGTTTAAGGGATGTCAGTTGTCAGTTGTCTCCTGTTAATTCCCATCTCTAAGTTATTCTCCACTGCTTTAAGGAAATCAATTGAACTCTCCTCGAATGATCCATCCTGAAACTGGATCTAACTAACGAAAAAAAGTTGTGCAAATTTCAGACCACCTGAAAGGAGGCCGGAGCGTTCAACGGCTGAAACGTTGTAATAAATATGGCGACAATTAAGGACAAATGGTCCGAATAATGTAAATATTTTATATAAATATATATATATATATATATATATATATATATTATTTAAACGTTATTTTTATAGATACAATTTATTTAAGTAAATGCTGAATTTTTAATTAAAATTATTAATTACAGATAACGACCTGAATGTTAGAGAAATTTCGTAGAAAATATTCGTTCTCCGACAGAAATCAAAGCTGTATTCCTATACGGAAGCCGCCATTTGACCTGACACTACGTACCGAATACGTCCGAATAAGCGTAGACCCAAACATCATTAAAAGTTTTTAATAATCACCATTAGACTCATCCATTTTGTATTTCAAAATCTTCTTGCAATGACAACATATAATTAACACCCAAACAATTCTTTAATGTTCTTATTGGAATTTCTGCATGTTTGTCAAGCAGTACAGTATTATTTTAGTAAAATATATTTAAAAAGGTCAAGGTGCTTTTTTTTCACAGACGGAATCCAACTGAACTCTATAAAATATTGCAGTCGATAAAATCAAAAACAAACATTCTGTATGAAATACCAAATTAAAAATATAAAATGGCGACAATTTACCCACCTGTATATAGTAAATTTTATCGGCTTTAGAGATTAAATGTATTCATGAAAATATATTGTATTTTTGTGTATATGAGTGTTTGGTTTGGTTTATTTTGTTTTACTGCATATCAACCACAATGAGTTATTTAATGTCGACAACATTTTTAGGATGGATTTGTGTGAATAGAGTATGTATTCTTTGGTTTAGGTTGGTTTTTGGTTTATTTTGTTTTGAACGGCATATCAACCTCAATGGGTTATTTAATGTGAAACAACATTTTTAGGATAGATTCGTAAATGAATAGAATATGTATTCTTTGGTTTAGATTGGTTTGGTTTTATTTTGTTTTACGGCATATCAACCTCAATGGGTTATTTAATGCCGACAACATTTTTAGGATAGATTCGTATGAATAGAGTAATGTATTCTTTGGTTTAGATTGGTTTGGTTTATTTTGTTTTACGGCATATCAACCTCAATGGGTTATTTAATGCTGACAAAATTTTTTTTTGCTGGTAATATTTTGTTTTGTGAAAAATCTGTTTCTGGTAATATTTTTTCTTCAAAATTTTATTGCTAGTAATATTTTTTTCAAAAAGTATTGCTGGTAATAGCTAACTATTTGTTCATAGCTGGGACCCTAACAGATGCTACCACCCCGGCTCAGGATGGACCTGGGTACAGCAGCAATTTTGAGATGCTCTCGCTTTTGAAACATGAGAACTCTTATGTAGCGAAGGAATCATATTATTAAAAAAATAATTATAACCTAAGCTCTACTTCTGTATGGGGGCACTGATTTTTATTTTTTTTTTTAAATAAAAAAAAATACTAAAGATAATGAATTATTTCAAACGTGTTCTTGAAATTTTTCTACATAATTTAACCCAAACACACACACACAAACACACACACACATACACATATATATATATATATATATATATATATATATATATATATATATATATATATAACGATTTGTTACATTTCTTGTTTGTGGAAATCTCTTCCAGGCTTTGGCTTTCCAGTCAATTTTCTGTTGGAATTTTTGGGTAGTACTAGTGAGCCAATCAAAATGAGCTGACTTTTATAGTTCACCAATAGAAGGGGTGACCAATCAGAAGGCTTAGAATATTCAATGCGACGTGTATAAAGGCAGCCATTTTTTTTTTCCAAATATACACTGCCGGCCTTTGATATCGAAGACTGAAGAATTACAGAACAGCTGCTGGTGGTATTGGCGATATAGTCAGATTCAGTCGAGTGTCTGAATCGTGAGTGTTAATCTTTAACGTTGTTTTATTGAACAGATTTTGTTACTGCGCTGTATTCTATATTCATAGACTATGGTGAACATGGTCAACATTTTTATCTTCAGAAATGTAAATGTAATAACAATTATTATCTTTCGTCTTTCAATTTGATTTTATTGTTTTATTATGCATTGATTTTAATACTGATTGATTTCTATTTCTCGTATACATATATATATATTTTTGTGTATGTATGTTTGTACATTAATTTTTATTAATATATATATATATATATATATATATATATATATATATATATATATATATATATATATATAATATATAATATATATATAATACGTGTATATATATATTTATATATATATATATATATATATATATATATATATATATATATATATATATATATATACGAATGCTTTTCGATCCTGGCTAGACAGGGCAGTCGGATGTCTTTCTACACTGATGAGCTAAAAAACTTTGAAACAGTCTTTATAGTGGAAATATATATATATATATATATATATATTGAGCAGTAAAAAGTGATAGATGAGTGTAGATTAAAATTGAATAGTACCAAATGTTTATATATATATATATATATATATATATATATATATATATATATATATATATATATATGCTTTAAATTTTTATTATACGAGATTATGATAAAACATTTTCAAATCGTTACAGAAAAGCTTTCATGTTTCAATGCCTATGATTTACTTCCTCAGGCGATTAAAAGGAACTGGTTTTACAAATGTTTTTAAGGGATATTTGTAGACAAATCGTTACCTCTTTTCCAAAAGGTAAAGGTGTGGGGATAAGGTCAGAGCGATTTAAATACTTATATTATAATAATATTTTGCTCTACTTTGTATTGAGCACTTATTTTAAAAAAGTAAATGCTACAAACTGTGGCTTTTTTAATTTTTAGTTTACCGTTTTCTAAATTTACTATAATCTTACTATAAACATACTTTTATAAAACCAATATATTGTGTGTGTGTGTACGATTTATATATTGGATCGTAGATTAGTTACATTTTTCAACCGATTTCAACAAAACTTCACAGGACTACGTGAAATTTCCTTGTTTGGACCTTGAAAAAAATTGGAAAAACACAATTGATTTTTTTGCACAAAAATCAATTTGAAAACACGATTGTCGGCATCCTATATGAATAAAAAGGGACAACTCATATGGAGTTATACTTAATTAAAAAAAGGTTGTTTTTGTGTGTGTGTGTGTGTGTGTGTGTGTGTGTGTGTGTGTGTGTGTGTGTGTGTGTGTGTTCGTTTATATATGGGATCGGATTTTAAACATTTTTCAGGTTGATTTCATGAAAAACTTTTTTTTGGACAAAGCTAGTGTTTCTTATTGTCTTATCACACTTTTTTCTTTATTTTTACATTCAGAATGCTTTAAAAATTCCATTTACAAGACAATTATTTTATAATAAAAAATGTATTCACCAACCGACAGACTCATAACGATTGAAAACAATGTTTTTGTTTGATTTTGAGGTTTTTCGTCCAAAAAAAAAAAAAAAAAAAAACTAATAATTATAACATATATGATCAGTCAAATAATCTTTCTCAATTTTTTTTTTCAGTCTTTATGATGGTCGAAACTTGATCTATCTCTTTTTTCTAAAACATCCCCAGGCAACGCCGTTATCAACTGCTAGTCTTACTATAAACTTACTATAAACTCGTCCCAGTCCACCAATTTTTGGACTCTCCAGACAATATCGTGCCGGTGTTTGTTCAGACACATCTCTGAAAAAGTTTTGTCCAGAGTAATTTTACCGCTGGAGTCAGGTCGACTTTCACTGAGTGCATTAGACTTGTCACTGCGCCGAAGATCATCTATGTTATTATCGCCATCGTCCAAATTTCAGTCTCTACCCGCTTTCATCTTTGTTCCAAACGATCAACCATCGTCTGTTTTCAAGTGACAATTCTCTTTAATAGACAAAAAATGCAACACAACGCACTCCTGCATGAATAGGAATCA